GCGGATACCATATGGCCAAGGAGCCTCTGAAATAGTTTCAGTGGAACCGCTCTCTTGCCTTTGAATTGACTCAGGCAATTCAGCAGTGACTGTGCGCGCTCGCTCATAAGCTGTGCGAACATGGCGACCGAGTCTATTTCCATACCGAGAAAAGAGATCCTCTGCACAGGGGAGAGTTTGCTCTTTTCCCAGTTGACCCGAAGACCCAGACGGGCGAGGTGTCTGAGCACCAGATCCCTGTGCTCGCACAACTGTACTCGAGAGTGAGCTAGAATCAGCCAGTCGTCGAGGTAGTTGAGGATACGGACACCTTGCTCCCTGAGAGGAGCCAGAGCTCCCTCCGCCACCTTCGTAAAGACGCGGGGAGACAGGGCCAACCCGAATGGGAGAACTTTGTACTGATATGCCTGCCCCTCGAAAGCAAACCGAAGAAATGGTCTGTGTCGAGGAAGAATGGAGACATGAAAGTATACGTCCTTCAGGTCGATCGCTGCAAACCAATCCATGGGACGAATGCATTCGAAAATGAGTTTGGGCATTAACATCTTGAACGGAAGTCTGTGAAGAGCTCGGTTCAAGGCACGCAAGTCTAGGATTGGCCGTAACCCACCTGTTTTCTTGGGTACTATGAAGTAGGGGCTGTAGAAGCCGGACTTCATGTCGGCTGGAGGGACCGGCTCTATCGCGCCCTTTGCCAGCAGGGTCGCGACCAGTGTTGGGAGTAATGCATTACAAAAGTAATAATATTACATTAGTATATTACTTTTTGGTGTAACGCAGTAATATAACGCATTACTAATAAAATTTGGGTAATATTATTACTCGTTACAATCTTAGTAACGCAAGTTACAACAACATTTTAACTCAAAATTAAGTGGTGAAATTACCAACACCGCAACAGCACCAGAGAAAAAATTCTGCGGGTAAAATAGTTTGTCTATTTCCTGATGCTGGAATTAGATGGTTGATATGACTGCAGAGATGGATTCTACATTTGTGAGATGGACACACTCCTGTTATTTTCTGCTCATCGGAGAAAAGGATAAGAATGCATGGTGCAATATGTGCGAAACCAAACTCCCAACATGGAGAAATAGCACGAGTAAAACCTGGAAACACCTGGACTGGGAATCACGTCGCCTACTGTCATCCGCGGCCTCTTGGGACCCGGAGGTAGAGGAAACAGCTCTTTTAATGAAGGTTTGGGTACCGTGGGGCCAATGGCGGAACAGAAAGTGAACGAAAACAAAGGATTCTCCCCCGGCCCTGAGTTGACTTCCCCATCTCCGGGTTGCCCATCTCAGGAACGTCGCTTGGCCTGACGCTTGGCAGGTTTAGGGGCAGAGATGGGCTACGCCGCCCTCCTGCGGCCATCTCCTCGCTGCGGCCGGGTGGACGAGCGCAGACAAGCAACAAAAATAAGTCTAACTAAAAATAACAAAATCTGTTTTTATTAAATCATAGTCTATCAAATGAATGAATATGCGAAATATTTGACTTAAATAGCCTAATTAACAGATTAACAAAACGAAAGGAAAAGACTGAGAGATATGCTGCTGAGTTTGGTTCATAGGCTATTTGTGTGGCGCGGCGCTCTACAAAAGTCCA